CTTTAATTTATTGGTATCGGACGTGCCAAGCAAGCATTGTTTCGTGAAATACAACAACATTTATTCAAATGATATTGCCTATCGTATCCACGATATTCCTATCGCAATTTTCACAATATCTTGTGTTCCTCTGTGACACTTCTGGGAATTTGAAAGTGTCGCTAAAGACTTTACCTTAGTATCAATATAAAACGATATAAATATCAGCTCGGCTTACGTTTCCGAGCGATTCCTTGCCTTGAGGTTCGGATCGTTAACCGGGCTCAGCTTTTGATTCCAACCTTCTTCTGATCTTTTCAACATTTTATAGATAGATAGTTGGGGCCCTGTGATTAATGCTTTGGAACTATTTCTCCTTCGAGTCATTTGTATTTGAAGCAAAATATGATAGTTAAAAACATGTATCTTACGTGTTCGAATCGTTCGTTTTAAAGCCCTGACACAAACTATTTTCCATTCCCAAATTCCCCCTCCTCAGCTCATATTGAATGTAATTGTACAACTTCCCTATAGACACGTATATATAATTTGTATACCACCCCACTAATTTCCCACTCTTTGGCAAAGTATTGCCAGGCTGGGAATTTTTCCAGCATTTTCACATACACACGCATAAGCAGCCCAAATGGGCAGTTCATTAGAATCATAAAGAATAGTTGCCCAGGGCATATAACGATCCTAGTCAAATTTTCAGAAGAGATTCGTATGCTAAATGCAAAGAGCATAATATCATAATATTTATGAGTGAGCTTTGAGCATAAAAAAAATAGTTTTAAGCAATCTGCAATCCAAATTTTGACTCTTTAGCTCTCTCTCTCTCTCTCCCTCTTGCTCGTAGTCCCTGAGGATTTTAAAATACAACTCGTTAACAGTGGCTGCTGACGATGCTGTGATGTTGCCATCAGCCGCGCCCACTCCACTGACTGTAACCCAACCCCGGCACCGTTTTCGCCCCCTCTTGTAGGTGCAGCCCCTTGGCATCCACCTGCCCTTCGTGAAACGCAAGTTGACTGCAAGTTGGCCTTGTCTGCCCGCGCTAACGTTTTGTTGTTAAGCCATTGGAATTTATGGCGTTGTTTACACAAAAATTGCATTCGCCTTGCAGTTGAGTAAACACACGACTCGCCAAGAAGGAGAGGCGGCATCTGAAGCAGAGACACTGAACAAGAAAAGTGGGAGAAAAACAAGAGTGCACACATCGGGAGTGCCCGGCCAGGAGATAGTCTGTAGACAGCGGCGAGTTGCACTCACATAACATATATTTGAACTTCCTGCAGCTGTAACTTCTTCTTCTATTTTCCGCTTTACATCCTTGAATAACTTCTGAGTTTTGTCTGTGTCTCTAGCTCTTCTAATCGCCCAGTAATGTTAAATTAATTTTGTTTTAAAATTGATACTACGGAAATGTTGGCGTAATCGAAAAAAATATTTGCTCAATGTGCATGTGATATACGAGATAATGTCTTTCAAATTTTAAGCCCAGGATTAGGAGATAGTTGCTCCTGCCCGTAAGATACACTTGCGCAAAACCAGTTCACCCTTTTGAGCACATATACAATGTGTACAGGGTATTAAAAAGAACGGAAAGCAAAAAAAAATACAATTTGGCAAGTCAAATTGAAATAACTGCGTTCCAGAGTTTCAGAATATCAGAATTTCAGCTGCCGGCGTCCTTAATGAATGCCAATTACTGTTGGAGGACCTGCAACTCGATTATGTTAGTGAAATGCAAAAACCGATTTAAATAACGAGTATTTTCAATTGCTCGAAAAAGGACTAAAGGGCCAACCTGCCAGTTCATTCGGTCATAAGGTGTGCATGCTTTAGATCTGTGCCATCTGCTGTTAATTAAAATCGATGGGAGCCGTCAAGAAAGTCGCAGAGCAAATGGCGCGTATACGCAATGTGTATTAATTAATGCGACTTTGCCCCTACACACAAACACACACACACATACCCACACACATAAATTTCAAATAGTCGTAACGTATAATTATATAAGCTGCACAGCGACCCAAATGCGCGATGCCCGTGAGTTAGATAGACATAGAGAGCGAGATAAAGAGAGAAGAAGTTCAACGACTGCCACGGAGCCCGAAACGGTGGTATATAGCATGTTTGCTGTCATCTAAGAGGCGCAAACAACGAAATTGCATTTAGGTGTTGCCAAGAACTGTCCGCCAAACTAAGCACTCGAATCTAACAACAGAACTTTGGCCAAAATTCGAATACAAACTAATTACAAATTGAGATCAAAGATGTAATCGGACTCGGGCAGAGTCTGGCAAAGTACTTCATCAAATAGCTCGATTCACAAATATATAGAACTCTGTTAAATAAAAGGCTGATGGCAAAAGTGTACAAAATATCTACGGTCAAACTTGCCTATAATGAACATCAGCATTTAATATTCAAGAAAAAAAATTAATATTATTATGAAATACCTATTTTGACTCTTTATATCGAAGTCCTACAATCATATTAAGCAAGCAATAAACGGAAAAATATGAGAGAGCTACCAAACGAATTGAAGTTGGCCCAAAACGAACTAATTAGATTTTGAGAGCAGAAATGTAATCGGATTTGGGCAGTGTCTGGCAAAGAAATTAAATTGTTTTCCTGGCTTTTGTCTAGCAGCAAAATGAGCCAAAAAAAAACCCATCAAGATGTATGCATGTGTATACGATGTGTAAATGTATGTACACATGTACATAATAATATGGCACGACAAATGTACGACACGCAAAGCAATCATAAAATGTGCTTTTTGGTTACCTTAATGTGATTGTCGGGCCACATGTGAGCATTGAAAGCAGTCAATTAGCACCAACACAGGCACAGGCAGTTACACACACATACACGCACACATATACGAGCGACATGTGAAATGTGGCATATAAAGTATACGTCGTGTGTGCCCAAAACGCAGGAGTCAAAAGCGGACGCCGCAAAGGTCCGTTTAACTTAACGTTTCCCACGCGAGCGACAACAGAGTTAACCCACAAATATACACACACATGGCACACACACCTTGTCAAGTGAATGGGCAAGGCATATGCCAAAAGTATTCCAAGTTGCTTTGGCAACCGCGCTGCGGTCTTAAAGTTGACAATAGATTAATGTTGCCCCGGAGAGGCATAAAGCATGCCACAATAAGCATAGGTAGTTAATTTTTAACAGACTCATGCCAAGGCAAAGGCCGCACTTTCATCTTCTCGCAACTTGGCAACGATAGCTGCCTCGGCGCGTGACATATCAAAGTTCAAAGCTGGCTAAATTGATTAAGGCCACGCCCAGTGGCACTAATTGCCAACAGCCAGTGGCAGCAGCAGCAGCAGCAGCAACTACAGCAGCACATCCTGCCCATGCCCCATGTCTGTGTGTGTGGTGCAAATGTGCGAAAATTGCAGGTGCCCCTTAATGATGCAGGAAATGAGTTAATGCGCCCATCAAGCGCCAACCACCAGCGTCATCGTCAGTCAGCCAGGCGTCCAGGCCAGGCTCAGTCAAGCGTTTACCGTGCCAACTGCCCCGCTGCCCTGCTGTCCTGCTGCCCATGCTCCATCAGTCGCCTAGCTGGGCATGCAAAGCAGCCCAGTTGATTGGCATCCCAGCTAAGGCAGACGTTATGCTGTCGTCAATGTCATTGGGCGAAGCGCTCACTAATCAGCTTATCATTATTTCATTGAGGGAGTGCGGGGCAGTGCGGGGAAGTGCGGGGGGTGGGGTGGTCACAGAGATAGGGCGCAATAAAAATCCTTGTATTGAAGCCTAAGCGGATTAGGATAGTTGCCAGTCCTAGCCAACCCAATAGACAATGCACAGCAAATGATGGCATAGAGCAAACAGGAGAATTCGATTTGCACTGATTCTCGAAACCTAAATACGCTAGCATATCATATGGCTAAACAACCTTTTCTAACCAATGCCACGCCCTAAGATTTGTCTCGTGAGCTGGGCATGCGGCTAAAACTCTTTTAATTGACCATAAAACATTTCAATTTATCAAATTAGTTATATTTACATATTGAAGAGTTCGTCATAGTATTTTTTTGAGTTCATAAAAATACAATAAACTTATAGATCAAACCATTATATATGGTTCAACTCAGGCTTAGTTACGACTGTTCTTCATCAAACAAATTCGACTAAAGATTTATTCTTGTCTATCTAAAATGAAAATCAATTTAAATCCATTTTGCGACTTGAAAGAAACGTTATTGATAAAACAGATTCGATTTGCGACTAAGTGATCCATTATGATCCATCCTTTTCAGATATTACTCAAATAGTACCAAATTCTTGGATTTTCCTTAATTTTTCTCTGCATTAATCAGGGTCATAGTTTTTTGCTTAAAAAAAAAGCACAACTAAAGTAAGTTAGATATTTGTAAGAACTTTTCTTTTTTAAGTAAAATTCCTAAGAAATCTGTGACTGACATTATTCAATCATCAGTTGGTGGTACCAAAAATAATATCCTGCTCTTGTGCACTGGACATATCATGACATATTCGTTATGCCCAGTGCAAGGGTATTATGACAGTCCGATATAAAATAAATCAATTAAAAGATTTCGGGGTTTTCGGGTCGCGCATCTGAATAAGCCAAAAGCAAAACTAATTAGCAAAGTCCACTGGGAGCTAGCAGTTCGCCGAAGCTAGACTGGCGCTGGTTCTGTATGTGGACATGGGGACATGGGGACATGTTGGCATAGGGGCGTGGGTGGGGCGGCGTAGCTAGTCAAGCATATTGTGATCCCATTATCAGCGTATCATTAATTTAATGCGTGGTACATTAATTGCCGCATTGCGCATTCACAGCACTATGCGCTGCAAGTGGAAATAGTAAATGGAAGTGGAAATAGAAATCAAAATGAGAATCAGAGAGAAGGGCGGAGAACGAACAGCGCGCAGTCACAGCTAGTTGATAGTAATAATAGGCACCAGTTGTAACCTAATATTGATGGCTACCCCCTCAATTTGTATTGATTATTTTTCAGGCAGCACAGCGAATCCGGATGCGAAGCGACTCTACGACGATCTGCTAAGCAACTACAATAAACTGGTGCGTCCCGTGGTAAATGTCACGGATGCGCTGACGGTGCGCATCAAGCTGAAGCTATCGCAACTGATTGATGTCAATCTGAAGAACCAAATAATGACCACCAATCTGTGGGTGGAGCAATCCTGGTACGACTACAAACTTAAATGGGAGCCCAAGGAATATGGCGGTGTCGAAATGCTTCACGTGCCCTCCGATCACATCTGGCGGCCAGACATTGTGCTCTACAACAAGTGAGTAGTGCTCTTATCAAACTAACAAGCATGCCTAATTCCAATATCAAATCCAAATCCCAAACAGTGCCGATGGCAACTTTGAGGTGACCCTGGCCACAAAGGCAACACTAAACTACACAGGACGCGTCGAGTGGCGACCGCCGGCCATTTACAAGAGCTCCTGCGAAATTGATGTTGAATACTTTCCCTTTGACGAGCAGACATGCGTCATGAAGTTCGGCAGCTGGACTTACGATGGATTCCAGGTAACCCTCAAACACAAAAGAAAGAATAACAAGTGCACCCTAGTTGGCAATATAATGAGATACTCTGTTTACGTACGAAAATTTCAAACTTCCCTTCATTCATACACCCACAAAACTGCATCGTTCTAGTGCTTCTTCATTCCCCAACCACGCGCTGCAAAATATGCATTCTTGAATAACAACTAACTCTCTGTAAAGAGCAAAGCAGCTGGCAGCAAGAGGAGGTATTCAAAAAGTATACCATGCGTATGCTTTTATATCATGTTTGGTGTCTCTTATGTTGTCAGAGTGAGGTGTCGACAATTTGAAATAATAATGATCTGCGCGGCAAATAGGAAATTTGCATTTTAAAGAGATATTGGAAAATTAGTTCGAAATCAATCAATAAATAGACAAAAGTTGGCTCAGTTTGAATCCCGCGGTGTAAATGATTTTTCTTTGACCTCATTTATCCCGATGAAGAATGGATTTGGCGAAAAGTGTCAAACAGAGCAATAATCATAAATACGTATCTTGTTCATTTTAAGCTGAGCTCAACATGCTCGAGTACTTAAGCACATACATTCGTGTATGTATTTAAATACATACAAAACAACATGCATTCATACGATTGTAATAGTTGTTACTTGTATTTTAAATATAATAAGGCATAGTTATGTTTATAATACGTACCAGTTTGTACAATGGCATCCGCCAAAGCCATAGCCACTGCCTCCTCCATAGTTGCATCAGCATGGAGGAGCCATTGTCAAAGCCGCCGTCTTCTCCATTGTTCAAGCTGCCATCTCCTCCCATATTGCGATGCTTCCAGCTTTGCTCAAGTTGCCGGTTTCTCCAATATTAAAGCCGGCGCCTCCTCTAATTTAAAATCGCCGCCTCCTGCAATTGAAGGTAAGTCTATAAGACTTACTTGAGAGCAAACAAACATGCAAAATATATTTATAATTTACATATATAAATGCATACATAATATACACACATATACACGCACACACATGCACATGTATATTTACATGCAAATTTGTATATTTCGAATTTTCTTATATACATGCAAAAATTCATACAAGAATACATTACATACTTATATACATACATACATACATACATACATACATACTTATATACATACATACATACATACATACATACATACATATATTTACGTATTGCGGGTACTCTCTAGTTTTATCCGCGGCATGTTTTATGCTTAAAACTTTATATACAATTTTACAAGATTGAAGTCCACGTCTTATGTTAAACTTTTTGAGATATTTGGAAATGAGTTAGCCCATCGTTGATCACCAATCAGTCAGTCCTATATATAGATATCCATTAAAGTTGATCAAAATATATGCTGGCGAACCCATGTTTATTTTGGGAAAATTCTTTTGACAGCCTCTGTGTTATATGGGCTATAACGGGGAATGGAATTGGATGAATTATCGGAATGCAAATTGCAATTTGAATTCATAGAGAATGACTTTGGTTTTTCTGTGATATTTGCACTTCTAGAAATTGGGCTCCTCTGAATGAGTTCTTCAAGCGGGACCGAGTCCTGTGGCTGGTTTAGTGGCCATAAACCCAAATTCGCTCATAATTCGTTCTTGTGGCATGGAAGTTCTCACATTTTATGACCCCACACAGAAACAGGCTACATAAAATGGTCTCTGGCGATTTGAAAGCATACACTCACACACTCACACACACGCACACACACAGAGACACACATTAATACAGACAACACACACAACAGGACGGAGGGGACAGCAGGCACCCAAAGGACAATAAGGTGGCTTGACACCTGCCGGCAATGACAAAGACACAGCAGCGGCAGTTGAGGCCTCGTAAAGTCGTCCTCGTGCAGCATGTGGCAATCGAGGCGACTGCAGCTGCCGCAGCCGCAGCCTTTTGCGACCTGGTCGTAGGGTGGATGGTATATGTGGCATTGGGCATTGGGCTTGGTGCACGTGGCATGGGGGCGACTTAATGCTGCCACCCGCCAGCGACTTGCCAGCTAATGAAGTGGCATTAGAGCGGCATTCACTGCTTGTTGCTGCTTTGCAGCTTAGCGCAAATGAGCCGACAAATGGCCCCCAGCTCTCGACTGCGGCTGGCAACTCTTTAGCCAAAGCCTTGCCTCCCGGTTAACCACATGCGGTGGCACGGGCTTTGGAGCCCATAAAAAGTCGTGCTGCATGTGCAATGCCTGTCGTTGCCGCTGACGTAATGTTCTCCCGGCTTTAATCAAATCTTGTTTTAGCTTGAATGATGCCCGCCTATATGGAAAGGTATGTGTGTGTGTGTGTGTGTGTGTGCTGGCAACTCAGTTATGCAATTCCCTCAACTGAGAAGAAACAAATTGCAGCAAGTTGTTTCGTATTGCAGTGCACAGAAATGCGTGTAATTTGCATAGCTCACGCACAGGCACCGCGCCGTCAATCAAAGGCAGGCACAAACAGACAGACTCACACACACACACACACACACACTACCACACTGGGGCGCATTTTGCAGCATACTTCGAGGCGCGCATGGCGATTTATATAACAAAAGAAAAAAATGTAAGGAAGCATAAAGCCAAATGCAATGCAAGTTGAAAGCTGAGAAACGAAAAGAGGAGGGAAAAGAGAAATAAAGCAGCTAGTAAAGTGAGAAGCAGGGTCCAAGCCGGCATAGTGAGAACCAAATCAAGATGCTTATGGAATAAATTCAAGAAACAAAAAAAAGAACAAGGAAAGTGGCAAAGCGATAAGCAAAGTGAGAAGCAAGGCGTCGAGCAAAGCGAGAAGATTAGATTGCAGAAAGTGCAAAAGCGAAACGGGAGCAAAAGCAAAAACCAAAGAGCCAAATTCATAACAATGCAGAAAGCACAGCGAGAAGCCTCGTGAGAATCAGACCGAGAAGCACAGAAAATTCAAGAATGAGAATCAAAAAAACTATAAAGAAAGCAAACCAAGATTAATTATGCCTCCACTTAGGCGCACTTTTTTATATGCTTCGTCATTATGGTCATACCCTGCCCTGAAATTTGTATTGCTTTTTTTAAATGTGTATTAAGAGAGCGTTCCCAATTAATTTAAGACGCATGCCATAAAGTAGATATGTATATATATCTATATATCAATTGTCGATGGCTTATTATCAATAGCCGAGACTATCTCTAACCATATCCGACTTACTATCCATCCGTTCGGTGTTGTCTTGAAATGTCTATCTCAGAGACGTTGACTAAGTACCAATAAAAGCAACGACAATGCCATATTTACCACACCAAAAGTTTTCGAATTGAAAATGGTTTATATGAGAGATTTGCTCTCGTATCGCATTGCTCCTCCCTCATAAATGTTGTACGCCAAAGTTCCGCCAAGATTGCATACTCTCACTCACTTTCCCTTTTTTATCCTCTCTCTCCATCTCTAGTTCTCTCTCTCTCTCCCTCTCTTTCTATTCTTTATTCTCTGCCTCTCGTTCTGTTTATGCATGTTGTCTTACACTAAATGCAGACCAATTTTAGTTCCCGTTCCACATTTCATATTTGTTTAATACCACCGTACTATGCGATTCTCATGAATTCTAATAGGTCCTACAGGCTATAATGCCTTGATTATAAGTGTTAACCTACCAGGTGCGCGTTGGCCAGCTTAAATGTTTATCTCTGCTAATACTCTTACTCTAATTTACTCTGTTGCACTCTTCCCTCTCTTTCTCTCGCTCTCTCTCGCTCTCTCTCTCTCTCTCTCTCTCTCTTTCTTTTGTGTGCTTAGGTATCTCTGTCTATTTGATGCGCTTAGTATTTCGATTATTGTCAATGAATATACATTGCATACACATGAAGTCTGCATACCTTGGCAGCTGGCTTTAATTTGCCAAAAAGCCAACGTTCATTTGGCATTAAAAGCCAAGGCGCTAACAGAATTTGACATGCCACGACACGTCACGCGCAAAAACGTGGCTATCTGCAGCTTTTTGTGTTCGCTGAGTGTGTGTGTATGTGTGTGTGTGTGTGTATAAAGTTGTCATTGTTGTAATGTTGTTGTCGCTTTCAACGCCTCATTATTTGTGGACGGGGATCCTTTGTGGGCATCCTTTGTGGTGCGCATAAATCAACCGCAATAAGCGGCATCAACAGCGCCGTATCATAACATAGAATATTTATAAACTCTCCAGGAGCAGGAGCGAACACAAATGACAACAAAGGCAAGTGGTAGCAGGGGGCAGGAGCAGGGGGCAAGGCACAGACTATGGGGCAACAGGAAACAGAAACTGGACTGCTTAATGGCCGCTGGTCGGCTTCATTGTGAATTGAAAGCATTTACAATTGTCTGTCAACTGTGCCCCAGTGGCAAAGCTCTCTCTCTCTCTCTCTCTCTCTCTCGCTCTCTCGCTCTCACTCTGTCTCGCTCTCTATTCTGTTCGCTGCTGGACTTTGCCTCACTCTCGCTCTCTTTTTACCTAGCCTCCATGTACATGTCTGGCCCCACGTCTTTCGGTGTCGGAAATATTTCAGTAAATCGTAACTTCCTTATAGTGAAATTTCCGCTACCACTTAAAATAACAATTTCCGCTTCGGCAGTTTCTGTTACAGTTACAGAGTTGCACATAGTTACTGCCACAGTTGCAGCAACTACTTATGGCTGCAACATTCGCAACAGTTGCACCTGGCAAGGCACATCCTGTCTGATTATGAGGCTGTTCTGGCTGCCCGCTCATGCTGAAAGGCAGCGTCGATTGCCTAATTTTATGTTTAGAAATGCAGAACATGCCCACTATGCATGGTGGGGCCAAACGTCGGACGTTGACCGAAAATAAATAAAAAACAATTTTGTATATATTTTGAAAGCGACTGCTCTTGGGAGTTTATTTTTCTCGAAGGGTATTTTTCACCTGTTTACGGCTGTGAGGTGAAAAACGTGTTGCATATTAATTTCTACCAAAATATTTGTACATTTTATCCATGGTGAGCTGTCTGTTGTGCGTGTGAGGGTGTGTGTGTGTGTGTGTGTGTGATCATAGGCTCAATTTTCACACTTGATTTTGCACAAAACGGCATTATGGCGCCCCGCCCATCAGGTACGCCACTCAACTTGACTAAACTCCACTCAATTCAAACTCCCATCGCCACTCACCAAATCGAATTAACGTCACTTTTCAAATTTCACGCTTTTCTCATCGCACACCTCCGCAAAAAGAATGGCCCACGCAGCACTCCAACCGCCGACCGAACGACCGCTCGACCCCTCACCTTTTCGCTCTCTATCTCTTTATCTCTCTATGCAAGCTCATTGAGGCGAAAACGCCAGACAGACGCCCCATCAAATCCCATACGAAAATCGCATCAAACACCGAGCATGGAAAAAGAAATGCATGCAGTTGACGAAGCTCAAATACACTTACCAAATTCTCAGATCCAAAATCGCATACACTATCCAGAAACTTCTTTAAATCCATTAACTTGTATAATCAAAAAACAAACTGATTCCACTTAGGAAGTCTACATGATAAAAATAAAATATAAAAAATTATAAAATAATTTAATATTGAGCAATATTTATTGTTTTTTAATTTATTTATATTACATTTATATATTTCTTCATTTTTATCCTTTTCTTAGTCAGATCATAAATTATTTGATGTTATATTTTGTAAAGCATGGACTAAAACGTTTCGCCTAGAATTCGGATCCGAATATGTCCACAATTATTACGTTAAGCTAAATAGACTTCAGTTCAAGAATTCTCAGGTATTCCTGAATTTGAATTATAGCAAACCTGTTATAGAAACTGGAATTCAATTATTCTGTGCCAGAATCCTTAAAGATACGATATTGCATTTGCTTTTTGAAGCGACCTGCAAAGCTTACGTCTCAGCTGCAGTTGCCAAGGCCAGCAAAGGGAATTTGTGAAATACATGAACAGCTGCCTCAGGCATCAGCTTGTGCCAGCTGTGTGCCTGGCATGCCAATTGCAGCGATGTCCTGTGCACATCCTGCATCCTTGTGCTCTACTACTGTCCATGCTCTGTCAGCTGCACTCGTGCCGAACTAAGCAAAACTGAAACAGAAATTGAAGTGCAAACTTGGCTGAGTTTACTCCGACTTATAGTCGAGCAATGCTCTCCTGTTAGCTTGTTCTGCCAAGTGAGTTGCTACTGTTTTAATACACTAACATGGGGTATTATCACATTGACAATACATGTGTAACAAAAGATAAATCTTTTTTACTTTAAGCATAGTTTTTATAAATTTGCAAATGCTTTATTCGAATTTAATGTAAAGTGTTTTCGTTGCAGTCCATCTACAGTATTATATTACTTAGTTATTATATTACTTATTTTATTCATTATTTATTAATTAACTAAAACATTTGAGAAGATATCACCTTAACGCAAGCCAAAGCAGTTTCTGAAGAAAAGAACGGATACGAATACCCGATGTAAAGAAATTTTTTAAAAAAAAATAGAGAGATGAAACCTGAAAGACATAACATAAATGGTTATCTAACTATGTACGGTAGATGTCAATTTAAAACAGTATAAATAAAAACGAAAATTATTCAATTCAAATTGTGAAAGTATGATATATGACAAGCCCAGTTGTGAAATAAATCGATTTGAAGGATGTGCAAAAGCTGATTAGCAAACCGAACCCAAAGTCAGGGAATTGGTTCCAACTGCGAGTCCTGCCCTAGCTATAGAGTATTTAATGTGCGGTGCATTAAGAGCTCTTTTTCCAGCTGCTACTTTTGCGGCATCTCTATCTCCACGACAATCCAATCTTCCTCTCCAGCTCAATTATGTGCGCTGTCAACGTGTGTAGTCCTGTAATTGTCTAATCACTCCCACTCGCTCTTTCTCTCCATCTCTCTCTCTCTCTCTCTCTCTCTCTCTCTCTCTCTCTCTCTCTCACACACACTCACATATACCAACTGTGGTGTCTTACTCATGCTCTGTACCTTTCTTTTTTTGGTTTGGCAGGTGGATCTGCGTCACATCGATGAACTGAATGGCACCAATGTGGTTGAAGTGGGCGTGGATCTGTCCGAGTTCTACACGTCCGTTGAATGGGATATACTTGAAGTTCCTGCAGTGCGGTAAGTTTTCCATGCAACTACAATACAAATCTACAAACGCCAGCATGCAACAGCAACAACAGCAACAACAACAACAGGTTTGGCAGCTGCTTTGGCAACTTTTGGCCGCTGTCACAAAACACAAACACAAATCTTCCGAATGTCAGAACATTTTGCACAGGTCAAGGATACGAGCAGGACAGTAGCAGCACAACAGCAACAACAACAACATAGAATTGCGACGACGACAAGTTGCTGATGATGAGCCTCTACGATTCGCAATGGGCGTGGTCCACAGTTTACCGCCAATATTTACACTTGTACATGAGGAGGCGTCGTCTGTTTCTCTTTTCGGCCTCCCCGCCCTCTATAGTCAGCAGACTCCATCACAAATCGCAAGTCTTGCGAGTCTGCAAAAAGTTTTTAAATTAAAAAACTTTGGCGCCGGCTACCAAAAGAGCAGCCTCTAGACTGCGTGTGTGTGTTTGTGTGTGTGTGTCGCTCTCGAAAACAACTAGGCTAGAGCTAGGCAAGAGGCTGTTGTTGTTTAATTGCCACGCCCTCATTTACACATACCTGCCCGACCCAGCATGATGCTGCTCGCTCGTGTGCACACACACATAAGCTAAATTGTGGGCGGCCCGAAGGCTGAGAGCTGCCGGCAGAGTGGGCGTGGCTCTAATGTGTTTAGCCCAAGACAAAGGGAACAAATTTCAAAGAGTTTTCGCACATTTTGTTGCGCCTCGCAAAGTGCCAAAAAAGTTTTCAGCTTTGAGCGGCAAATTAATAAGCAGGCTAGAGGCACACACACACACACACACACACAGACTACCATACACACACACACACACACACACACACACACCATCATACACACATTTAGACTGAAACCCGAATGAGCATGGAACAGCAGAAATACTTGAATCTTGCAACTCATTTCGAATATTAATCATTTCGAATATTAATCTCAAAAGCGATTAGCAAATATTCGATTCGTTTACTCTTATCAGAGCTGTCGAGTCGCTAGTTTGCTAAAACTAACCCCAAAAGCGCCTTATATCATATACATATTATTTTCTATTAAATGTGAGCTTAGCTTATCAATTTAACTATTTTTAAGCCAGCCAACACGAGGTTAGTGTTGTTTTTGCTAATACAAAAAAGGTCATCCGCTGCTCCATCCATTTCTCCACGCTTGTAATTCTCAACATGTTAAAGCCTCAAAGAAGGGACAAGCGGTGTGCACAGCTCGAAAGCTCTTGAAATCGCTTTGCGATATTTTATATTTTACTTATTTGACTATTTATATGTTGCTGTTAATACCAAGGTATTATAAAATGTACCTCTAGCCGACCAGCTAAAAAATAGTGCTTATTATTAAAAAAGCACATACTTGATGCCACAATTTGTACAAATTCTCGGCAAGTCTCAATAGACGAATGTCTACAGTCATATTCCTCTGGCCGTCTGTCTGCAGAGGCAGATTGTAAAGAGTGTGCTGGATCCGACCAATATATAAATTAGCTGCCAAAGAAATGATCGTTCAAAAATTAGTTCTTGTATAAACAAATCTTGAGCAAACTTCGCATTTACAAACTTAAACTTATTTCCTACATATATTCATATAATAGACAACATTGAAAGAATCGGACCCGCAATTACGAGCTCAGCTACTTTGCTAACATATCTGCGAAACCATATCAAATCACATAGGTAAAATTTGTAGTCAATCAGTCAGTCAGCCAGCAGCTTAGGGTTTTCACAATCGCTCCATTGAAGCCCAATTTTGGGCCAATCAACTATTGTGCATTCAATTCAACGAACGAGGCACTCAATTATAAACTATCGCTATAAATTTTTGAAGGGTTTCCCCATACGCGGGCACATGTCCTTTTGTTATGGCTGCAATTTACGGATTAGCTGACTGAGCACCGAGCATGCACGAGGATTTCACCGATTCAGTAAAGTCCTGCCCTGCAGGCATTAAGCTTGGATGTGTTGCTGTTGTTGTGCTCAGTTATGGCCATGGTCCAAACAAAATTTGATTACATTCGCAATGCTTTCACAATATTGTTGTTACCTTATCCAGTTGAACACCCTTGAACACCCTTGATTTAGTCCTCTTCCGACGTGTTCTTTTTTTTATTGCCGCAACTTTTTTTTTAAGATTCGCCTTCGCATTGGGCCCCGGGCAACGCAACTGGAATGAAATTTAAGAGCGAAACAAAAGTTGCTGCTAAAAATGCTCATAAAAAAGGGAAGTGCAGACGAGACATCTGTAAGTGGGCGCGGCTAGAAGATATCCTGTACGCAGCGACGAGCTTCCGTATCAAATATTCCCATCTCCACTTACAATTCACGCCATGTTAAATGTTCTGCGGACAAAAATTCCTCTTAAAATGTGTTAATCAAATACCTTCATGTAAAATGTTGTGTCTTACCTATATTGGTTATCGATGCCTGAGCAAGTTATCGATAATCCGAGTGTATACGTACACATGTTGAAAAATAATCTCCATCTGATGAAAACCTATGCACAAAATTTTTGTCTAAAGCCTAGATTGAAAACCGATAATCTAAAATTAAATAATAAATAATATTTTGAATCTGCGCAAGCTACATGTGAGCCTACATACAAAATGTTTCTTAAAGCCTAATTTGAAATTTTACTTTTATCGACTTTGAGGTTAGTGATCGATAAAAATATCTTAATCTATTTAAAGAATATGAAAGCCTTTATACAAAATTTTGAGCCAAGAACCTACATTGAAAATGGTTTATCGATTTCGGGGCTTAGTATCGATAATCTGAAACTTTACCTGCGCATAATTCAAACATTATGCATATGATAGAAACTATTTTTCATCTGCGTAAGCTACATGAGAACCTACTTGCAACTCGTCGATTATTATCGATTTCATAGTTAGTGATCAATAATCTCAGATTTAAATCTGATCGAAATACGGACATTAAGTCGATTGTTGATAGTTTTCGTGATCAGAGATGCCTCCAACTGCCTGTAAAATACAAGAGTTTACCCTTATATGACAGTTTTCAATGAGTACAGGGTATAAAAACCTGGCGACAAAACGTGCAATGAGCTGAGCGTTGCTGTGGTTGTTGTTGTTGTTTTTGTTTTTCTTGCGTTGTCGTTGGCACGCGTGCCAGCCACAAACATGTCGCGACGCACGTCGCCGTTTCGGGTGTCCGTGAAAGTGTTGTTTATGGCCCAGCAGCACAAAGGACACACATACACACACACACAGTCAAAAACAAATAAACTCAAGCAAAAACTGCTCACCTGCTGCGCGGCGTGCAAAATGCACTCGCTGTGGCACATTATGTGCGCTTGTGGCAAGCAGCATTATGTGGCACACCCAAACACACACACACACACACACGCACAAACACCTTGAACTTTACAAAAGTTGCGTGCAATTTAAATGTTAAATAAATCAGCGTAGCGCAACTTTGACCGCAGCTACTCCAAGAGCCGAACGCCTTAGTTGCATGTAGCAAGCCAACCCCTGTCCCTCCCCGACAGTCTGCCTGCCCATAAGCCCCCAATTTGAGGTCGCTTTTGACAACGGGCAACACTATGCGTCAATACGTCCAGGTGTCTGGCAGCTCTATCTAACATAACTCTCTCTCTCTCTCTCTCTCTCCCCCTCTCGTTCTCACGCTGTGTGCGCCATTTCACTTTCTGTCTGTCTGTCTGTCAATCAGCGCCTGATTGCAGTGCTCGGCGCCTAACTGAAGTGGGCGTGCCCATGCAGGCTGTACGTACGTGCCGCTACAGCCACGCCTCAGCGCTCAGCGCTGCGTGCCACACGTGGGCGCCTCAGTTAATTTAACTGTCGATGTTGATGCGCATTAAAGTGAATCCTGGCGTGGAGTCCGCTGCCGCGGCTGCTGCTGCTGCTGAAACTGCCTCTGCCACTGCCGCTGCGACGGCAACTGCTTCATGGCAAAATTACGCTACGTGCTGTGAATTGTGTTGCAGCATTTTAGGCGCAGCCTCGAAAGCAGCCACCCACCAACAGCTGCAGACAATAAAGGGACCAGCCAGCCTTTGACTTTGCCTTGGCCCCGCTTTAGGTGCCACTAGACCTCCTCCGCCCGCATAGAGGGAAAAGCCGCAGTCCGCTTCTGGTTTGTGTCACGCACTTGTGGCATAATTTACTATAGACTGCGGCACACACACACACACACACACACACACCCACTCGTACACACGCACACACGTGGCAGCTGCTGTCAACTTTTTAATTCCTGTCAATGACTTGAGCCCCTTTGCGCTTTGGCTCTGTTGTGTCATTTTTGCTATTACGTGAAGCAGAAGCTGGTGTAATATATATTTGGAGGCTGTATTTTTTAGCCATGTCATGGGTTCAGTCATTATGAACAGTTGAGCATCCAATTGTCTAGCAAATACACGTTCAAGGAGTCAAACGTCTGTATTATTTCTGGGAATCCACAACTTTCACTCAGAATGTGAATATCATATTCTTTACATTCTCAAGTTGTAGGATATAAGTAACTTTTGAATCCCAACGATATTAAGCACTTATGCAAAGCATTTGAAATTCGCGTTTTCTTTACTGATTAAAGAAATTCCCTCCAATTGGTGGAAAATGCGTGAAAGCGTCAGCGGAAGTCAACTAGCAGATGTAAAAATGTGTATATATATAAAGTGTATACATTAGCTTAGTATACTCGCTCATTTTTCTTGGCATATACAAAAAGCGGCAAGACTCAAAGCTTTTAGAAGTCCACATAATAAAGTTCTGAGTATCAAATGCGATTGCATTTCTACTCAACTAGTTCGCTGTAAATCTAAGCCCTTGGGGTTTTAAAGCTATATATGAATAATTATACCTATTTTATTATGATTACCGATTAATTACCGATATATTCTTAGTATAAGTAATTGTTGAGGGGATTTGAAACCAGATCCTCCCTTTTCGGTAATAACCTTTACTTGCTTTGCTGCCCCATTTGAATACCTTAACACTTATTGA